GGTCTGGCTGAAAGGTTTGTTGTTGTCAGACTTCCATATAGTTCGATTTTCTGTGGTTTGGCTGCATTTTTGTTGCTAAAATTTCATTGTTTTTAAACTTGGTTGTGTGAGAAGGCACAGGGTTTTCACCTACGCCTCCATCTTGGTGGAAGTCCTCCATTTTCTTCACACTACTCTTCCCCACCCCACCCATCCCAACCTCGCACCCTTGATCCTACCCCCATTTGGCATTGTCCATATGTCCTTTATAGATGTTCCTGAAATTCCTCCCTCCTTTTGCCCCATTATCCCCTTCCATCTCTCCTCTGGTTACTGTCAGTTTTTTCTTTATTTATTTCAATGTCTCTTAAAGCACTTATGCTCATTGGGTGACATCATGACACTTTAATAATTCTTCAACAAATATTAAAACATTTAAAGAATATTTACTACATAACCAAAATGCTATTATTATACTCAAGAAAATTAACAATTTTATAATAACTTCCAATGTACAATACATATTCAGATTATTCCAATGGCTCCCAAAGTGTCATTTTTAACTATATACCTGAGTCAGAGTCCCACCAAAATTAACACTGAATTTTATTTTATATCCCTTTTGTCTCTTTTAATCTAGATCAGCCTCTAGCCATTTTTAAAAATTAAATTTATTTGGTAGCATTAATTAATAAAATTATGTAGGTTTCAACTGTACAATTCTATGATACATCATCTGTATATTGCATTTAAAAAATGATACCTTTAGAATAGTCCAGGCTAATTGGTTTGTTATATACCCCTATGCTTTTAGTGGCCATACCGAATATTGAAAAAAATAATTGTGATTTTCTTATTCTAGCATATCTTCTACATTTACGGGCTAATATTTTAGGTATCATGCATTTTTATTTAATATGTTGTAATCACTTCTAGTACATGTTTTTGATGGTCAATTGGTGGAGATTTGGGCAATGGGGTCCCACAAGGAATTTCTTTCAGGTGTAACTGCTCTAGATTTAGATATTGCCTAGCTCACATTCTGAGGATGAAATGATGTGGTTTGTATAAATACATGTTACAAAATGTCCAGTAGCAATATATGCTTTTTTTACTACAGACTACATTATAAATATAAAGATGAAGGTATTCTATTAATGGTTTTACTCTATTGTTTTTTTAAATGTAAGCTTTGTAAAATCAGGAATTAGATCTGTTGTGATCTGAATGCAACACCTGGTGAGTACTAAAAATATAATTTTTGAGTGAATAATTTAGTAAGTCTTTAGAAATGAAGAGTGGATAAATTGAGGCATGCAGGTAGGAAAACCAACTGCTCCAGTTGCCTGTAACTCAGGTGTTTTTTGGGATGTAGGACTGTTGGTTCTAAAACTGGAAAGTCTTGAAGAACTGGGATTAGTTATTTGCCCTATAAGCAGATATTTGAACATTACTTTTCTCTTTCTTGCTATTTTAAGAAAGCCATTTGAATTTTTTAATTAAATATCTTCAACTTGAGGGACACCTTTGTAGAAGAATGGTTGATGCAGTGGGATTAATCCAAGGCAATGAGGGACTGGGCCAAAGCTCTCTGACTGTTATGGGAGTGAGCTGAGCATGCTGTGTGGACCAGAAAATCCCAGTTTTCCAGTAACTCAATGTCAAACATTTCCTGCATATGCCCTCCTACAATGATGCCAAGAAGAGTTACTTGAAACAAACACACACAAAAATATTTCCTGTACTCTTTGCCAAAAGTATTACAGTTCATAATTTTCCTAATTAAAAAATTTAAAAATTAATTTTATTAATTATGCCATTACAGTTGTTCTATTTCCCCACCTTCATTCCCCTCCACCCTGCACACCCCTCCCCCACCATTCCCCCCTTTAGTTTATGACCACATGTCTCAAGTTCTTTAGATTCTATATTTCCCATACTATTCTTGCCCTCCCCTTTTACTTATTTTCTACCTACCATCTATGCTACTTATTTTCTGTACCTTCTCCCCCCTTCTCCTCCTCCCACTCCCCTGTTGCTAACCCTCCATGAGATCTTCATTTCTATAGTTCTGCTCCTGATCTAGCTGTCCTCTTAGTTTGCTTTTGTTTTAGGTGTGGTTGTTAATAACTGTGAGTTTGCTGTCCTTTCACTGTTCATATTTTTTATCTTCTTTTTCTTAGGTAAGTCCCTTTAACATTTCATATAATAAGGGCTTGGTGATGATGAACTCCTTGAATTTGATCTTATCTGAGAAGCACTTTATCTGCCCTTCCATTCTAAATGAAAGCCTGCTGGATAGAGCAATCTTGGTTGTAGGTCTTTGGATTTTATGACTTGGAATACTTCTTTCCATCCCCTTCTTGCTAGAGGAGTCAAGATCATCAACTTTAGCTATTTGTTATAATTCTTCCTGAGAAGAAAAGTGTAAAATGATAGTGTTAAAAAGTGTAGGACTTTTTGTACACATAAAACTATAAAACATTGTCAAAAGAAGTGAAATAACCTAAAGAAGTGGAAAAACAACCCATGTTCATGAATCAGAAGACTTAATATAGTTAAGATGGCAATATCCTGCCCAAGTTATGTACAACTTCAACATACTCCTTATTAATATCTCAGTCAAATATTTTTCAGAAATTGACAAGCACAGCTTGAAATTCATATGTAACTTCCAGGGGCACAAACTAACTGAAACAATTTTGAAAAATAAGAACAAATCTGTAGAGTCCAAAATTCTCCAATTTTGAAATCATTCCAAAGCTACTGTAATCAAGATAGATGATGGAAGAGAATCAAGGGTCCATAAGTAAACCCTCATATTTATGGTGAATTAATTTTGATAAAATATCAAAACAATTCATTGGGGGAAAGAACAATCTCTTCAATTAATGGTGACAGGACAACTGAATATCCATATGTAAAAGAACGTGCATCTCATGTCATGTTAAAAATCTCACACCTACGTTGATATTTCTCTCCCTCTCTCCTTCCCCTCTAAAGATAAATAAAAAAAATCTCACACCATTCAAAATATTCCAAATAAATCAAACACATAAACATAATAACTAAAACTATAAAAGTCTTGGGAAAAGGTGTTTAAATCTTTTTGATCTCATATTAAACAATTCTTTTTTAGATACGACACCCAAAGCACAAGGGAATAAAAACATAGATAACTTTATCTCATCAAAATTAACAGCTTTTGTGTATCAATGAACATTTTCAAGGGAGTAATAGTAAAACACAGAATGGGAGAAAATAATGGAAAATCATGTATCTGACAAGGGACTCGTATTCAGATATATATAGCATTCTTACAACTTGTTGATGAAAGAAAAATGAGTCAATAAAAAATTGGCAAGTATTCAACTAGATATTTCCCCAAAGAAAATATGTAAATAGATAATAACCACATGAAAAGATGCTCAGCATCATTAGATATACAGGAATGCAAATCAAAAACAAAATTATAAACAATTTTACACACCCTAAGAAATAAGAAAGACAGATATTAACAAGTTTGGGCAGAATGTGGAGGAAATCAGAACCCTCATATATTTTGGTGTTGCTCCTAGGGGCAATGGGAAACCATTTTTATGTGAAAAACTACTGGAGGTAGGAGAAAAATATATGGGGAGATCCATTAGGAAGATATTGCAATCTAGACAAGGAAAGATGTCAGCTGAAATTAGGGAGAAGGTGATAGAGATGGTGTCAGTAAGACCAATCTGTGAGCTACTGGAAAGGAAATTGTAGGCTGATTTAGCAATGGATTGGTTTGGGGTGGAACAGAGTAGGGACAGGATAATGTCAAAGATGCTTCAAGTCCCTGATGTTCCAGATGCAAGGAGAGAGATACATTTGAGATGTGAAACCCAGAAGAGAATTATGTTGGTAAAAAACAATGTTTGTTTATGGCCTTGTGGGACTGTTTCTGAGATATCTAAGTAGAGGTGTGAAGTAGGCAATTGAAAAAAATAGTGGTCTGGAGCTCATAGGTAATTTAATGATAGAGAAGAAAACTTGGCCATTCTTTCTTTCTGCAGGATACATTAAGTCTGTATGGACAAGATTGCCTGTGAGGAGGGTATAAATTAGAATAGAAATGCTTTCAGAACCAAGACAGCTAGTGTGCTTGAAACATAAAGGAGACAAAGAAAGGTCAGCTAGAGAGATAGTTCAGGGAGGTGTTGAGACATAGGAGTCAGGAACACAAGAGTAGTATTTAAAATGGAGGCAGGAACCAAAGCATTTATACTGCTAAGAGGACCAAAAGATATTTGTCAGTGGAGATTACTGGAGGCTTAAGAGAGAGGTCTTTGGGTGGAATAATAAAGATAAAATCCATTTTTGAGTGTATAGCAGAAGAGAGAGGAATCAAATATTAATAATTTATTATGAGAGTTAGCATGTTGCAATTAAAGTAAAAAAAATCCTGTTGAGAACACGAGACTGATTAAAATAGACATATTTGTGAGAGCAATAATATAAATTTATTGAGAAATCAGGAGTGTTGAGAAGCAAAGTACTGCTGAAGAATTTGCTTTAAAAAATAGGAAGCACTGTGGTAATAAAATGGAATGAGAAGAGAATGAACCAGATGTCTGAAATAGCTGGTGTTTTTCAGAGCACAAAGTTGACCTTGTTTCACCCTGCTGACTTGTATTATCTCTGTGAAGAAGCTGGTAGGAACATCTGCTAGGAAAAGGAAGAAGTTAGAAGGATGAGACTTTGGAGGAATAGAGTTTGGGAAGTAGGACTTCTAGAGGGTGAATGCGGAAGAGGATGAGAAAAACACAGGCTTGCCAGGCAGTGTGGTGGGTAGATGGAAGTTGGGGAAAGTTGAGGTACTTGCACAATTCATATGAACCCCATGGGTCTCACTTTCTTTATCTACAAGAGGAAACATAATACTTAACCTTCAAGTGCAGATGGGAATACATATGAACAAAAAACATGAAAGTAGTTTTGTAAACCCAAACATAAAAATGCTTGGCAGGATTTACACTGCCAGGATCTCTCCTCTGCCCTCTGTAATTATCCTACCTGATTTTCCCAGGTATGTATGTGCTCATAGTATCAGGAATTATTGTAGACTTTTAAAGAAAGTAAAATCCAACTTAACACTTATTTTATTAACTTTTATGATGACATGTACCATGTATTTGTTGTTCTATATATAAAGAAGGAGCATGGAATGACTTGGGACAAAGGGTGGGACAAAGACTGTGCCCTTTGAGCATCACAGCCTCACATTACTAGTTCCTGCTCATTGACGGTAGATTCTCTTTTTGCCTATGATGAAGTTTCTTGTGTCTTCTCACTAAGATTAAAAACAACGTACACCATGTAACACAAAGTGTGTGCTCTATGCACATGGGAAATGAGAAGATAGTCATTTGGAAGAGTTAAGATGAGCAAAGAAACACAGTGAGTGAGAGTTGAGAAAGAGTTGCATTCATAACAGGAAAATGTCTTTGAGTGAGTCTAGGAGCAAACCCAGTGTGGGTTACTTTAGGAAATCCCCTGCTATATACCTGAGTTGTCTAGTGTGATGGACATGAGAACTCAATGAGACCAGTTAGTGAAATGCTCTGAGAGTGATGAGTAATCTTACCAAACTGTGTTTAGGGACATCTGACATAGTCCTGCTGGAGAGGGTGTACTTCTCAGAGTCCACTTTGGTTTTCCTGACCCGTCTCAACCATTGCCTGTATTGCTCCCAGACCTGCAGAGGCAAAGCATGTTCAGAGTCAGCTCACTGAGAGGAGTGAGAATGGAAAGGATGCTGGGTGGGAGTCAGATTGTGGTACCTGCTGGCTGAGGAGACAGTGTACCAGGAAGATGAAAACACCCTGTAGGCTGTTGATGATGGTGAAGAGATAGGCCATGGCATGGGCAGCTGGGTCCACCTGCAGGATTCCTAGGCACCACGTGCAGCCCAGGATGAAGAGCTGGGCCATTGCTTTAAATGTCAGCATCCTGAGTAGGAGGAGAAGGGAGACCCATGGTACACCAAGAGCAACAGAATAACGGCCACTCTCATCTTCACCCCATGGACACATGTGACTGAATTATGACCCGCTTTGGTTTTTACTCTCAATGATTCTCTAAAAAAATGCCATTAGGAACTGTGATGGTATTTTGACTTGGATTGAAGTAGTGATAATTCATGAAGTGGGTTTCAAAATGATCATGATATATCATGAATGTCCCTAATTTCATTCAACTGACATTACTGAAGATGTTCTATGTACCTGACTCTGCTCTGGGTCTTGGGTTTAAAAATATAAAAGACAATTTCTGTCTTCACAGACCTTACAGTCTCATGGAGACTAACACAACTGGTCACTTACAATATTTGTGATGTGTGAGGTACCTCTGCCTGGGTCCCATCCAGGACTGGTCCTGTCTTCTCCCTCTCTGTGAACTGTCCCCAGGTATGTTTTGCTCAGAATAGAGGCCACTCATTCTGTGCATAATTGAGGAAACCAAAGGACACCCCTAGCCTTTAAGAAGATGTGGCATGTGCATAAAGAACCTGATTATAGCAGATGTAGAAGTGGAGAGAACAGAGGGAAGAGCCTCCATGAAGGTGTGGGCATGAAGGTGTGTTCTGGGTTCTGGGAACAGGTAGGTGATTTCCTAAGAGATTTATAAACATGTAAATGTTTTTTGGATATTTTCATAGGGCCATGGAAGCAATCCACTTTTAACAAAACAAACAACATGGATGAAACTTGAAAGTATTATGCTGAGTGAAATAGGCCAGGTGTTGAAAGACAAATACCATATGATCTCACCTTTAACAGGAAGCTAAACAACAAAACAAACAAGCAAGCAGAATAAAAACAAAAGACACTGAAATAGAGAATAGGGGGACAGTGAGCAGAGGGTAGAGGGGAGGGAATTTAAGGGGAAAAGGGCAGGGATTTGGAGGAACAAATATGAAGGACACAGGGACGAGAACTAAGGGGGGTGGAGATGGGAGGGAGGTGGGGAGCATGGGGTGGGGGAGGGGGGCTGGGATGGGAGAAATAGACAAAAAACTGTACTTGAAAAATAACTAAATAAAATTGTTAAAAAACAAAACAAAACAAAGTCAACATCTCTGTAGCTGAGGTAATTTCATGTTGGATTTATGCAGAAATGAAAAGTTTCTGGCTTGCATTTGGCAGAAAAGCACAGTATCTGAGCAGGTTTCCAGGAAGTGTGGCTGCATTTCTTCTCCTGTCCCCTCAGAATCCCTGTGAAAGGACTTCAGGAGCTTGAAAATGTAGGGCCTCGCTCCTGGACCCTGCTTTGTGTGGGGCAGTGTGCCCATCTGACCCATCTCACCTCGTGTTCTGGAGGGTGGACACATCACTGTTGAGTGAGGAAATCTTGCTTTTCAGAATCCAGATGGTCATCAGAAAGAAAGCCAAGTTAATCTGTGGAAACCCCATGAGGCATATTGAATATATTCCACATCTGTATAGCTTCCTCCTAGCTCATTGAACACTTAACCCAGCAGGTAACAAGCTTTAATATTTCATAGCAGTCATAGAAAACCATATCCCAAACGAAGTTAACTCAGGCACATTCTTGTTCGGTAACTGGGGTGACCAAGTCATCCCAATTATCTGAGTTTTAGCACCAAAAGTCCAATGTCTTAGGAATCCCACTTGTCCTGATTTAAAACTATAATTGTGCCTGCTGGGATCCCCCTCAGTCCTGAGGAGAAACTGATTGATTGTTCACTTTGCCTATAGCCCTCCTTATACACCTGCTCTTATGATTGACCGTGAGCTGAGCAAGAGGGATGCTCTGATGCCATCCTTTACTCACAGAGATGATGAGGCAGACAGGGCCAAGGAAAGTCCATGCAAATCCCTGTTGTGCATGGAGCCAGCATCTAAGAGAGAGATGGAAAGAGATCAAAGAATGTATTTGCCTTTGTGGATAAACAATCAATCAATAAACATATCGCTCATGTCGCATAGTTTTTCTGTGACTCCTTTATTATATTATTATTATTCCTTTTTGTGGGTGAGAACATTTTGAGATCTGCTGTCTTAGTAAATTATAACTATTCAATATAATTTGTTAACTATAGACACTAAAAATCTGTATATGGTCTACAGACCTCCCAAACTTATTTATCTTTCATATTGATACCTTTTTATTCCTTTGATGGTGGTGATGGTTTAATGGGTGTATACTCATACCCACACTCATCAGTTGCAGATGTTAAACATGCACAACTTTTTATATATCAATCACACTTTAATAAAGTGGTTATTAAATTTTTTAATTAAAAAAACTCTGCTAAGTTTTGGGCCCCCCAAATGCTTGCAGAGATAAATATAAGCTCATAAAAGAATTAATGAATTAATTTATGGTTAACAAAAACAGAAGCATAGATGCATAGAACACACTGAGAGCTGTCAGAGGGGAGGGGCACTGGGGGACTGGGTGAAAAAAGGTGAAAGTATTAAGCAAAATATATATATTTTGACACAAAGACACAGACAACAGTATTGTGACAGCAGAGGGAAAGGGGGTAGGGGGAGTGGAAGTGGGCAATGGGGAAATAAATGGCAGAAGAAAGACACTTGACTTTGGGTAGTGAGTGCATAATGCAGTGTACAGATGATATTTTATTGAGTTGTACACTTGAAACCTGTGTGGTATTATTCACCAGTGTTGCTTCAGTAAATTAAATTAAAAAACTTATGGTTTATTGGGCAAATATTATGTCTCTTCTGAATCAGAATCTCTGCTTGGTCTGAAGATCCAGTTGCAATTAAGATAGACTGGTCTCAGCCCTTGGATGTGGCTCAGTTGGTTGGAGCATCATCCTGTATGCCAAAAGGTTGCAGGTTTGATTTCCCAGTCAGGGCACACACCTAGGTTATGGGTTTGATCCACAGTGAGGCATGTATGGAGGCAACAGATCTATGTTTCTCTCTCACATTGATATCTCTCTCTCTCTGTCTCTCTTTCTTTCAAATCAATAAATATCCTCAGGTGAGGATTAAAAAAGATAGGCTGGTCTCAGTCCTCAGGGAGGCCCCAGCTGGGTGGAAAGGTTACCAATTACACAATAGAAACAATGATGAGTTTTTTTATCAAGTGTGAGGAGCTATGAAAACATGTGGCTGGATCAGTAGCCTAGTCTGGGGTATAGGAGGTTCAGGTAGAAGGACACGGAGAGAACTTATTCTGTCTATTCTGAGATATGGAAGATGAGCAGGTACAAAGAAGGTGAGAAAACCTGGGATATGTAAGATGATGGTAAAAAGATGATGACTGTGACCTGACACAGTACTAAGGCAGGGCTCACGTACGTCACATAATTTACTTCTCATGACAACATACAGATTCAAATAATGGCAGGCCAGGCATTTGATGCTCAAGGAAACACAGCCAGTAATTCGAGGCCAAGTGAGATGCTTGAGAATGAGTTGGGAGGTGTGAGGACCATGGAGTTAGGTGGATCCACCAGAAGACTAAAAACAAACACTACTAAGGCAATGTTGATAAATTGTACCCTGTGGGCCAGCTTCAGCCATCTCCTGCTTTTGTAAATGTGTTTTACTGGAACAGTCTCATTAATTAATGCAATGAATAATATTTATATATATTCACTAACTATAAGGTACAATTAATATTATACCAATAAGTAGTCATTAATATAATATATGATTATTATTCATAATTAAATCTAAAAGATAAAAATAGTCACTTCGATTATTTTAACTACATATTAATTTATAATTATTAATAATCAATATATTAGTACATTGGTAATATTATATACAATTAATACTATATGAATATGTAATTTTTATATACAATGTAATTAACATTTAAAACAATTAACTCTCTAGGGCATAAAAATGACTAATGACCACAGTCTTCCACCAAAAAGACATCTGCAGTGTGATTACTGAGTTTTCCTCTGGCTGTTTTTCATATTCTCTTGAAATGATAGGGCTACATTGGTTCTCTGCTGGTTATTCATTTGGAGAAGATGACCATTCATGTAGGGAAGATAATCAGACTAGTGTGAACTTTAATTTACTGTGCAGCTGTTCCATAAAGGTGAGGCCTGGTTGCTGCAGAAATGGCCACAATGACAGCCGGGATTCCATAGCCCACAGGGAGCATGAACTTCATGAACCTACTCACACTGGAGTAGTTGACCACCATCAGATTGTGTGCAGTGAGAAAGAGGTGCAGACCCTCCAGCAGCATCCAGGTGAAGGAGGCCAGGTAGAGGTAGTGTAAGGCACCAGCGATGATGGTGCATAGTACCGGGGGGAGAAGTCAGGGTCACCAGGTGGGGTTGTAAGGGTGGAGTGTGGCCTTAGGACCTGTCCTATACCTCAAAGAGAACTCTGTTTATGAAGGAATTGTCAAGAGAGGATCTGTCATCCTGTTGCATCAGTCAATGTGAAATTGGCTACTCACCCCTCTAAGCTACCCAGAATCCAAGGACATTTTATTAAGGGGTAAAATGCTGCATGGCCCCATGCACATATATCTCCCAGACAGGACAAGGGTCCTTGGGGGATGTCAGTACCTTAATCTCTGTTCTGTCAATGGCTGTGAGGAAGAGCAGGTGGGCCAGGAAGAGGCAGATGCAGAGCTGCAGGTGGAGGGAGGTGCTGGTGTTCTGGATGGTTTTGCACAGCAGGAAGGTGAGGGCCACCAGGAGAAGGCATAGCAGAGAGAGGCTCAACCCCACATAGGTGATCACAGCCAGGGCAGGATCCTCCTCCTGGGACCCAGCAAAGAGATCTCAATCAAACTTTTCTGCTCTGGGGTAAAATTGTGTTTTTCAAAGTACACAGATTAGAATGACAAAACAAACAAAAAATAGTGATAAGTGTGGGCAAAACAGAATGACTGGAACTCTCATACACTGCTGGATGAGAATGTAAGAGGTAACTTCTTCTGGAGTGGAGTTTGGTGGTTTCTTATAAACGTATGTAGGAGTACTATATGACCCATAAAATCCATATCTGAGAGTTTACCCAAGAGAAAGAGAAAAAGTTCATAAAAAGAATGTTTAAGAATGTTCATAGCAGCTTTATGCATAAGAGCCCAGACTGGAAACAATGTAAATGTCCAGTAACTAGAGAATAGGTAAACAACTTGTGGGGTGGTCATACACTGGCAAACTCTATAGCATTAAAAACAAATAAACTATGGTTACGGACAGTATAACAAAGGAGAATCTCATAGACACTATGTTAAACAGAAGGAGCAGACACTTCCGCCAAGATGGAGGCATAGGTGGATGTGCCGTGCCTTCTCACACAACCAAGTTTAGAGACAACTAAATATTAGCAACAGAAAACATAGCCAGAACACGGAAAATTGAACTTTTGGGAAGTCCGTTAACAACAAATTCTTCAGCCTGACCGGTAAGGGGCGAAACCAGCGGCTGGTGAGGGGTTGCACAGGAGGACTCGGTCAGACGGACTCAGGTGCAGAATCCAAAAGCGGAATCCAGGCGCAGGGTTGGACCTAGTGAGCGACCGAGCGAGCCACCAGGCAAGCGACCGCGGGGGAGACAGCAGGGAAGCGGTGCTGCGTGTTGACTGTGGTCGCCCATTTGTGCGCGAGCGGACAGGCGAGGGAGTGGGCAGTTGGACCGAGGCCCGGCGGTCCCCGCGGCAAGCGGCAGTAGAGGGCGCCGCCATTTCCCCACTCTGACCACGCTTCCACATACAGCGTCACAACCCAGCGACCTGGGAGTCCAAGGCACCACTTCTCACACTTAAAGGGCCAGAACAGACCAAAAATGTCACAAGTTCTCAAAGCCCCAGAGCCCATAGATTTAAGCGATGAAGAAATAGCAAAACTCTCAGATGCACAGTTTAAAACACTGGTCATCAGGATCCTCACAGAACTGGTTGATTATAGCCACAAATTAGACAAATATCAATGAAAGAAACTAATCAAAATGAAGCAAAACATTGACAGGGAACCAACAGATGAAAAGGAAACTGGGACTCAAAGCAATGGAGTAGACCAGAAGAAAGAAATAAATGGCCAAACAGAAAAGAGTCAGGAAGCAAGAATTCAAAGAAGTGAGGAGAGTCTTACGAACCTCTGGGACATCTTTAAATGTTCCAACATCCGAATTATAGGGGTGCCAGAAGGGGGAAAGCCAGCACAAGATGGAAAATTTATTTGAAAAAATAATGAAGGAAAACTTCCACAATCTGGTGAAGGAGATAGACTTCCAGGAAGTCTAGGAAGTTCAGAGAGTCCCAAAGAAGTGGGACCCAAGGGGGAACACACCAAGGCACATCATAATTATATTAGCCAAGATTAAAATGAAGGAGAGAATCTTAAAAGCAGCAAGAAAAAAGGAGAGCGTTACCTACAAAGGAGTTCCTATTATAATGTCAGCTGATTTGTTAAAAGAAACCTTGCAGGCAAAGAAGGGGCTGGAAAGAAGTATTCCAAGACATGAAAGTCAAGGATCTACATCCAAGATTACTCTATCCAGCAAAGCTTTCATTTAGAATGAAAGGGCAGATAAGGTGCTTCCCAGATAAGGTCAAGTTAAAGGAGTTCATCACCACAAGCCCTTATTATATGAAATGTTAAAGGGACTTATCTAAGAAAACAAAGATAGAAAATATAAACAATAAAATGACAACAGACACAGCTAGCAGCAAATGAACCTGAGAAGAAAAACAACTAGAACAGGAACAGAATCAGAGAAATGGACATCACATGGAGGGATTTCAGTGGGACGGGGGAAGGGAGGAATGGGGGGGAAATGTACAGGGAAGAAGAAGCATAATTAGTAGGCATAAAATAGATGGGGAGAGATAAAAATGGCGCAGGAAACACTCAAAGAACTTATATGTACAACCCATGGATATGAACTAAGGAGGGGGAATGCTGGAGGGTTGGAGGTGCAGGGTGGAGGGAGGATACAGAGGGAAAAAATGGGAAAACTATAATAGCATAATCAGTAAAAAATACTTAAAAATATAAATAATAATTCTGTCTGCAAGGAAAAGAATTTAAAGGTATTTACTGGGCAGCTACAGAAATGTGTTGAAATGTGGCAATATCTATCAGAATTATGACTATAGATTCAACCCTGCCATATTACTGTATCATAGAAGCAAAATATTAAAAAGAAAATAATTATCATTAGAGACTTGTTAAAGTGTACAATATCCATGAAATGAAAAGTTATATAGATGTAAAAATGAATGAGAAAGTTTATTATATACTGGTTTAGAATCTCTAAAATACTTTAAGTGAGAATAATGCAACTCTGGCTGGGTGGCCCAGTCAGTTGGAGCGTTGTCCCATACACCAAAAGGTTGCAGGTTCAATCCCCAGTCAGAGTACATATGGGAAGCAACTGATCATTTATCTCTCACATTGGTGTTTCTGTCTCTGGATTAAAAAAATGCACGAGTGAATACAGTATGAAGGGTGTGAGTGAAAACAAAACTACACATTATATGTATGTGCTTATTTACACATAAAATATCTCTGAGAGAGCTCAGAAGAAACAGATTTCTGAGGTTTCTTCTGAGAAGGACCCTGATCACTGAGTAACACGAGTGAGGAAAAGACTTTGTTACCCCTTCTGTTACTTTAGAGTTTTTAATATTTTTATATCTTCAAAAATTTAAATTAATGATAAAAATAAAAATAAAATTTAAATCAGAAAACTTGCACAATGTATTCTTATTCTATAGCAAAGTAGCAGGAAGAAACACATTTTTTTTGGGGGGGGATGAATTTTTCCTAATGCCCAGGCAGCCTGACCATTTAGCTAAAAGAGTTTTCATCCTTATCTCCATGTGGATCTTCATTGCCTTATGTCACATGGGTGAATCTCAACTCCTGGAGATCACCCAGAGAAAGTAACTGTATCCTGTGGTCAGGAGAGAATAGTTTGGCCCTTGATGCAGCTGTTCTCATTGGCTACCCTCCGATGGGTTCTCTTTCAGGTCTTTTCGGTTCCAAGTATCCCTATCTCCTGGCTGTTAGGGCTCTCACCTGCATGTTGTACTGGGCCATGAGGACAGCAAAACTGCTGAGGTGGGTGCACAGGCAGGTGGTGCTGGTGTTTCTGGTGTCCACCATCCTGCAGCCTTTGGTGGCCCAGTGACCACATCCATCCTGACCACGATCTCAGAAGACACATAGCACCTCCTCCTTGGGTCCAGGGATCATCGGCTGTAGGAATAGGGCACAGGTGTGAGCTGGTTAATGGTTCCTGTGCTCAGAGATGCTGACTCAAAGATGACCCTGGAAAGGCTGACTTTCCTGGGGAGATGGTGCACCTGTGGGGGAGGCCACTTGAATCCCTAGCCTGAGCTGAGCAGCAGGACTGTGTCCAGGACTCAGGCTCCTCCCACACCTACAGCCCAGTCCCACCAAGACTCACGTGGTGGGAGAAGATGAAAGTGACTGGGGAGCTGAGGTCCTGGGTGTCTTTGTTGTTCAGAAAGGCGGAGTTGACATCAGAAACCAGGACTGGGGAGACGCCCTGCAGCAAGCCTTTGTGTGTCTCTAGGACCAGAGAGGCCTCAACCAGCAGCTTGCCCATCCCTGGAGTACAGATAAGGCCCGCCACCGAAGCACCTGCAGAACGAGGCCAAGGCTGACATCTTGGGGTGCCCACCAGGGCAACTTCCACTCATATGAGCTCTCCCTGGTGGGCCTATGGACCCTACATTTTATTTTTTAATGTTTAATAATTCTCTGTGTTCCATGCTGGCTGTCTTGCCCCATAGCAAGGTCTCAGTGGCCTTCCCTTCCCCAGCTCAGTCATTACCCAAGTCATTGGATTTCTGCACCACATCCCGGTCAAACTTCATCATTGCCTGGCTCTGTCTCAAGGTGATGGCTCCCACTCCTTGCTCCTCCTGCACCACCAGAGACAGTTCTGTAGTAGTGGCAATGGCATGAGAGATGGGAGAAGTCAGGTTACATCTTGCAATTGGGACTGGCTTTTTCAGTGTGTTGGTAAATGACATGAAATTTAAGTAATAAAAGAAGAGTAGTGTGGCTGGTATAAGACTGTTATTTTAGCATTTTTACAAGCTTAAAACAAGTGTCTCCAAAAATTGAACGTATTTAGAAAACACTCTACTAAAACTGTGTCATGTATTTTAAGAAAAGGAAGAAAATGCTCTCAAACAATATAAGGGTTCTGTCGCAATGACAAATTCTAACTCTAGTTCAAAGATTTTAAAAATTTAAATGCATATAACACTATTCTTAAATTTGATGTAGGTATTTGCAACTCAAAGTCTGACAGAGGTCTAGTACCCAGAATATACAGGAGTGGGCAAAAGTAGATTAGTAATAATAATAATAAATAAAATAATTAATATATAATAATACAAGAATAAACTCTGTTTTATGTACTCACAACTGTAAACCTACCTTTGCCCACCCCAAATAGAGTTCTTACAACTCAGTAATAAGACAAATAACCCACTTTAAAACTAGGTAAAAGATTGAATAAACATTTCTCCAAAGAAGATATAGGAAGATATTTAACATTATTAGTTATTAGGTAAATAAAATTAAAACCCAACCCCAGTGAGATGCCACCTCATACTTAGTAGAATAGCTACAATCAAAAGCTCAAAAAATAGCAAATGTTGGCAAAATGTGCCAAAATTGAAACCCTCATACACTACCGGTGGGAATATAAATGGTGCAGCTACTTTGGAAAACAGTAGCAATTCTTAAAATGATAAATATAGAGTTGGTATATGCCTCAGCAATTCCACTCCTAGTTATGTAACCAAAAGAAAAGAAAACATGCATCCAAGCAAATACTTGTTCATGAATGTTAATTCATAAGTGCCAAAAAGCAGAAACAACCCAAATGTTCACCAAATGATTAAATAAAATGTGTATAACCACATAATAGCATACTATGCATCGATAAAAAGAAATGAAGTATTGATATGTGCTACAGCATGAGTGAACTTCAAAAACATCATGCTGAGTGAAAGAAGCCAATCGCATGAAACCACATATTATATATAATCCCATTTATATGAAATGGCCAGAGTAGGTAAATCTATGGAGATAGGAAACTGATTAGTGGTTGCCACAGAATCGGGGTTCCAGGAATGGGAGTATCTGCTAGTGGGTATGGGATTTCTGTTTGAGGTGATGAAAATGTTCCATAATTGTTTCATGGTGATGGTGCACAACTTTGTGACTATGTTAAAACCATCAACTTATACACTTTAAAGGGTGTGTTTATGGTGTGTAAATTGTATCCTAAAAACACTCTTAAAAAAACACCTGATCAAGGTTGAGTCTGCTTGATAACTGCCACCTACATATGGTGAAGTTTTAAAAAATGTCTGGAAATGCTTTCTTTGAAATACAAATGGAGCCATTAATAAAATGATTGCAATGACCAAGATTGTTTGAGATGAAAGAGTCAGAGGGAAGTATTTGTGACCAGTGTTTAATACTCTCTTACCATCTTCCTGGGCAGTATAGGTGTTGAAAGAGCTGAGAAAATTACACAAAAATGACATGTTTCCACAATAAAATCATTGATGTAATGTTATTCAAGATTGTACTTAAAACAGACAAAATATTATGTAATTTTCAACATTTCAAGATTAATTGCATTTTTTCACTTGCAAGCAGTGTTTATGTTTTTAATTATTGTTCAAGTACAGTTGTCTCCATTTTCACCCCACCACACCCACCCCACCCATCCCTACCTCCCACTCTAAATCTACCCTCTTTGGCTTTGCCCATGTGTCCTTTATGTATGTTCCTTGATAGACCTTCCCCTATTTTCTCCCATTTTCCCTCTTTCTCCTCTCCTTTGGTTCTTGTAATTTTGTTCTTTATTTTAATGTTTCTGGTTATATCTTGTTTGTTTTGTTGATTAGGTTCCACTCAAAGTTAGATCATATGGTATTTGTCTTTCACTGCCTTACTTATTTCACTTAGCATAATGCTCCCTGGTTCTCTCCATGCTGTCACAAAGAGTAGGAGTTCCTTCTTTCTTTCTGCTGTGTAGTATTCCACTGTGTAAATGTACCATAGTTTTTTTATCCACTTATTTACTGGTGGAAACTTAGGTTGCTTCCAGCACTTGGCTATTGTAAATTGTGCTGCTATGAACATTAGGGTGCATTGTTTCTTTTGGATTGGTGTTTCAGGGCTCCTAGGGTATAATCCCAGCAGTGGAATTGCCCGGTCAAAAGGCAGTTCCACTTTTAGTTTTCTGAGAAAATTCCATACTGTTTTCCACAGTGGCTGCGCCAGTCTGCATTCCCACCAACAGTGGACTAGGGGTTCATTTTCTCCACAACCTCACCAGCACTTGTTCATTGGTTTGTTTATGATGACCATTCTGACTAGTGTGAAGTGGTATCGCACTGTGGTTTTAATGTGCATCTCTCTGATGGCTAGTGATGCGGAGCATCCTTTTATATGTCTCTGGCCCTTTGTATGTCCTCTTTTGGGGGAAGTGTCTATTTTTGAACACCTTATTTTTATTAATATAATTACAGGTATTTTGTTATAATTATATAAGTAATATAGTGATATACTTATCATTGATGTTTGCTTGTATTTATTTTTGCTCCTCATTTATTTAAATTTAAGTTTTGTGCTTGAAACAAATGAAAAACTTAGTTTCAAAGGGCTTTATTCTCTTACATGAGTAATATTTTATTTTAAATAAAACCCTGAGATGTGAGTGTGGTCACTTGGTTCCAATGGAGCGGTATCTAGGGAGAAGGAGGAATTAGATGGTGAACAGGTGGAGCAGGAGTCTGAGGTAGACCCAGGTGCTTACCTGTGCCTGCAGGAGCATGCATAGTCAATGGCCAATTGGATAGATCCTTGCTCAGCCCTCTCAGAACATCCTCCAGGCCACTGAGCAGGTTAGTGGCTACACAGCGCTGCTCTGAGTGGGGCAGGGTCTCTAGGTCCCCAGGGGTCTCTAGCAGCTCACCCACCTCCTGCACAAGGTTCTGGGGCAATGGGGACACAAGACAGTAGACAACAGACCAACGGGGCTTCATGAAGACCCTGATTATTTAGCCCCAAAGAACAGACCCTAGAAACCGTCTATTTGGAGAATAACAGTGGGACTGAATTAGATTCCTCAGATAGCCTTTGCTGCTTAGATCATAGCCACACAGAGGTGAATCTGTGTCAGGAATTCCAAGGATGACATAAACCCAAAGTCCAAAGCCAACAACAGGGAAAGAACCATAAGTAAGTGCACCTGGGTGTTTTTAAAAGTGCTTCTAGATACCTGAGTGTACCAGCCTTCTCCCCAATATGGGTGAGAAGCCAGTTGCAGTGTCTACTATATGGGCATTTGGCTGCACTGCTACCAAAGTAATCTGGGTCTCTATGGGATTTCCATATCTTGCCTCTTTCTTGGTTCTGACTTTACCTGGATGGTGTTCTCAGCCCAGGCTGGCTTGAAGTCTTGAGATAACTGCTCGATTTTGTCAAAGAAGCGGGTGAGGCTCTGGGGAGACCGAATGAACATGGGGGTTGGTCAGAGGTCCTGAAGAGGAAACTTGAGAAGAGGACAGAGAAGCAGGATGGTGTTGGCAAGGATCTCTATGCTTCCTGGTCTTCTGCTGAGTCTTCACTCACCTGACTCTTGACTCCAGAAGGTGGTGTCCAAGAGGAAAAGGGGGATTCTGCAAAGAAAAGAGGCAGGAGCACCGTTGGTATGTGTGTGCATGTGCATCATGTGAGTGTGCACATGTGCACTTGTTTTTGTGTGCACACACGCACCAATGTGGTTCGAATACATGCATGTGTATGCACACACGTGTCCATGTGTGTATGTGTGTCAGGACCATATACCTTCACAGACAGTGGTGTTTAGGCCATTCAGAGGGCTGGACCCAGCTACCCAGTCATGATGACAGTAGCATCTGTAGCTGCCCCTCACATTGATGCAGCGAGTGGAGTTGTGGCATTGGTGTTGTCCTGAGCTGCACTCATCCACATCTGGAGACATAAAAAGGAGGATCAGTCCCACAGCCCAGTCCTGCTAAGGCCTCCCTTCTACTCGCCAACCCCAGCCTTACTACCCTTTACCACCTTTCTCAAGTGCAGGCATCAAGGAGTCCATCACAGCTAAAATGGGTACCATCTTGTGGTGGCACTCTCAGCTCTCCCACCACCTCAGGGTGGGGGCTGACAAACTATGGCCCCAGGCCAAGTCCACCTGCTGCCTGTTTCTGTACAGTCCATGAGCTAAGAGTAGTTTTTATATTTTTAAGTGGCCAAAAATGTCAAAGAAAGAGCTATCTTTTATGACACATGAAAATTTTATAAAATTCAACTTATATTAATATCCATAAAGTTTCATTGGAATGAAGCAATGCTTATTTATTTATATGTTGTCTATGGTTGCTTTCAAACTATAATGGCAGAGTTAAGTAGTTGTGACAGATACCTTCTGGTTCTCAAAGCTTAAGATCTTTACTATATGGCTCTTCACAGAAGGAGGTTTTCTAGTCTCTATATTCAAGCAAGGTGAGCAAGACAAGAACTATGTGAATGTGAGTGTGAGTGTGACTGTGTGTGTGTGTTATATCTTTCGTCAGAGTTGCTTGGTGAGTGGTGAGTATGGTAGACAAAACAATGGCCTCTTCAAGGATGTCTAAGTGTCTAAGTTCTAATTTTTGGAATGTATGAGTATGTTACCTTTCACTCAAAATAATTTTTGAGCTTGTGATTAAGGATGTTGAAATGGCAGATAATCCTGGATGACCAGGATGCGCTTGATGTAATCACAAAGGTCCTATTTATGAGAGTGGGGGAGGAAGTCAGAGAGGAGAAGAGGTGATAGATATGCTGTTGGCTTTGAAGGGAAGGAAAGAAGCCTAGAACCATGGAATGCAGATAAACTCCAGAAGCTAAAAGAGGGAGGAAACAGATCTTCCCCTAGGACCTACAGAAGAAACTGTTTAAAACTTCTGACCTTCCAAACTCTAAGGGAATATATTTGTTTTGTTTTCAACTACTAAGTTTATATGAGCAATAGGAAACTAGTACAATGGTCCATTCAGGAATCTGAGAATGGCTTCCAGCCAAGTGGCGTTGGAATCAGCTCTTAGCATTGCTTCAGGAGTCCAGTGGATAACCCGAGCTGTGATTAGCTAGCTCACAAAGCCCCCAGCCACTGGCTGATGCTTTTCTTCAACCTCCTATGGCTCCAGTCACAGGTCTACACTCCAGGACAGCCTCAGAGTTGCCCACAACCTATGGGTGAATGGTAGGCCACACCTAGAAGGAACTTATTTTGGCCTCAGGATATCTCAGGCATTTGTGCAATCTCCTCACTCAGAGGAAGTTTCTTATTTCTAGAGAAGTTTGTGGATGAGAAATGAGGAAGCCATGTGATTGTGGTCACAGTGTTGAGTAAATGTGGGTATCTTAAAATTTATTTGGCTCCAAACTTCTCCTTCTCTCTTTTCTAATTAGGGGAAAAATTGGATCCTCTTGTGCTAACTTAGAGAATAGGAGAGTGGAGTTTGGACAATATTTAAATATAGCTTTTTCTGTCTGTAACCTAGACAATGAAGTGAGAGGAGCCCTGAAAGTTGGAGGTTTCTCTCCTCTAGGGCTGGTGAATAGCTTAGAAATAGATAATCCTCCTAACAAGATTAATGTTTACATACAGATGACTTCTCATAGATGCATACACTGAAACCTGTGTAATCTTATTTACCAGTGTCATCCCAATAAATTTAAATAAATCTTTCAAAAACATTTAAAGCAAGTATATTGCTGTCATATTTCTTAATGTTGAAAGGTTTATTTTCTTTTAATTTTATTTATTTATTTTTAGAGAGAGGAGAATAGAAACAGAAAGAGAAGGAAAGAAACACCAATGTGTGATTGCCTCTCACCTGCTCCCTACTGGGGACATGGCCTGCAACCCAGGCTTGTGTCCTGACTGGGAATCAAACTGGCTGGCACTCAAACCATTGAGTTTTCAGGCCAGCACTGAATCCACTGAGCCACACCAGCCAGGGCTGTTGAAAGATTTAGTATTTTACTTTTCTCTTTGTAAATTCTAAACAACTCTGTCTTTAAATTATTTCAAATACTTTGAAACATTATTCAAACAACTATACAAATAATAAAAATAGATAGTATCAAAACAATTAATGCATTGAAAAGTCATTAATTAATCTAAGTCTGTTAAGCTTTATTTAAAGTGTATTATATAGTACAATGAGACATTATTCAACAATAAACAAATGAAATCTTGCCATTTGCAACAACATGGATGGAACTGGAAAGCATTATGCTGAGTGAAATATGCCAGGTGCTGAAAGGCAAATACCATATGAAAAAGTTCTTAAGTTTATAATTGTATGGCTCTACCATGTCATTTGTTTCCAATCTTTAACTATTGCATATTATATTGCTATAAAGAACCTTTTAAATATACCCTAACATGGAGTTGTAAGTCTGAACAAGAACAGAAAATGGGAGGGATGGGATCCATAAATAGACCTAAGTAGGCTTTCTCCTGGGCTCTCAGATCTAGTAATAACTGTTCCAAGATGGCCTCAAAGCTGACTGGATGAACTTGAGTGTGAGAGCAGCATGGGGAGACAGGTAGAGGGAACACATGACATGGGTAACTACTTACCTTGACAAGTGTTTGTCTCAGTTTAGAATTTGGTGCCCCCTGAAATGAGCTTGTACCCAGAAAGGCACTCACAATAATAACTTCCCTCCAAATTATGACAATCTGCAAAGCTTCCACAAGACATGTATAATGGTGGACCACACTCGCTGATATCTGGAACACAAGTGGGAACTGCTAGGATGGGCCAAAATTCTGGTTAGAATTGGTAGCAACCAGATTTAAATGCATTTACTCCTTGTGTTTTCATTTTAAACAAAATAATGTGTTTGCGGGAGAAAACTGGAAAAGCAGAAAATGCAAAGAACACAGATATGTAATCATTGAAACAATTTTAAAAAGGGAGAATAGGTACCTATTGCTCAGCTTCACCAAGTATTAAGACTGCATCATTACTTTTTCATCTATGCCCACCTCCCATGGAATCACACTACAGCTTAGGTTTATGCAAATTCTTCCAGGTTGTAAAATATATTGTGACAACTGTTCCATATCAAAATAATAAATAACTTTCATGATTGTAGAATATTCCATAGTAAGAATATTTCATATTTCATCTAATTCATGATCAACTCAGAAAGCTGTAGTTCGAGATGGGGTCCATGTTCTCCCACTTTCTAGCCGTTTGGCTTTGGACCAGTTACTTCACCTCTCGAGGCCCAAGTTTTCTCATTTACTTTAAATTTTTTTTATTTTAATTGTTGTTCAAATACAGTTTTCTGCCTTTTACCCCCATCCCAGACCACCTCCCCAGCCCTCCCCACCTTGTTCCTATTTCTACCCCCACCCTGTTATTGTCCATGTATCTTTTATACTTGTTCCTGCAAACCCTTCACCCTTTTCCCCTGAAATTCTCTCCCCTCTGGTCACTGTCAGCCTGTTCTCTATTTCAGTGTCTTTGGTTATATTTTGCTTGTTTGTTTGTTTTGTTGATTAGGTTCCTGTTAAAGGTGAGATCATATGGTATTTGTCTTTCACCACCTGGCTTTCTTCACCTAGCATGCTTTCCAGTTCTATCCATGCTGTTGTAAAGAATAGGAGCTCCTTCTTTCTAATTTACTTTTCAAGGGGTTGCTCTGAGCCTGTTACAGGACATTGTTTGAGAGCCTCCTCATCTTCAAATTAACCCCGTCTGAATTCCAGCATACAACCAGCTAGCTGGGTGAGCCTGAGCAAGCTACCTCCCAAAGTTTCTGTTTCCTTCTCTCTAATAGTATCATCTAGACAGCATGTGGTTTAAGTTAATTTTAATTTTAGAAATTGTGCTTTACAGATGGAAAATGGCTATACTGACAAGAGATTACAGTGGTTATTTTTAGATGGAGGAACTAAGATTCTGGCTTATATGGAATTTTCTGAAAACAAGTGTTAGAGTTGGTGGAACATTGCAAATCTGTGGTTGCTGTGTGGTCCTTGCCAGAGTTTCCTCTTTTGCCCTGGTGCCTCTAGCCTTGACCAATATACAACAACAAAAACTTCAACAACAACAATGACAACAAAATGCATTGACTTATCAGGTGAAAGGCAGTGTCTTGTTTTTTTACATGTTATTAATTTATCTTTTTTTATTGAGATGAAAAGTCACATAACAAAATCAACCGTTTTAAACAGAACCATTCAGTTGTATTTAACACACTCACAGTGTTGTGTAACCACCAATTCTATTTAGTCCCAAAACATTTTTATCTCTCTAAAAGAAATTCCATTAATTAGTCATTCTCCATTCCCCTCGTCTCTGGCATCTGGTACCTATCATTTTGCTTTCTGTTTCCATGGATTCTATTTGTACATATTCATTATTTTAAAGCACACAGGAACTACGTGAGTTGATAATATTATTGTCCCTGATTTACAGATAAGGGAATTGAGATGCTGGGAAGTGAGACAATTTACCTGGACTCACACAGTTGGTCAGTAATACAGCTGGAATTAAGATAGCCTAGCTCCAAAGCCTGAGCTCTGAACACTATACCCATGACCATGAGAACTGAGTGCCCTGTTTCTTGATTCCTCTCTCCTACCCTTAACAAAGAACCTTAATGCTCTTTCAAGAGCTGAGGACTCTAGATGCCCCCAAATTTCCAATACCCTCCGCTATTTTACCTCAGCCTCTTACCTGTACAGACTTCCAAGAGAGAGCTAAAGATGGTCTTCCCAGACAGAGAAGTGAATCCAGGATCACACTGGCAGGAAGTGGCATTGAGACAATGGGCGTTGCATGGGCATCGAACACAGAGAGCTGTGGGAAATGGACATTTAGGTCTGAGCTCCTTCAGAAGATGCCAGCTGCCAGTTGGGAACAAGGAGATGGAGGAAGGAGAGGGAAGAGATGCCTGTTTTCATATAAAGAAGAGCCCTTGGTAATAGACTGGAAGTTTGAAAAAGAAGGGTCACTTTCTCAAAGCCTAAGAAGACCATTCCCAAGGATAAGTCCTTGTTAGTGTGAAGTTCCTTTCCTGGGCTCCAGGTGGTGGTGGGGTTTGTTTGAACATACTCACTTCCAGACCTCTGGGCAATAGCTCCCCATGATATTAGCAGGACCCAGAGCCCTAGAACAAAGAGAGAGAAGATATGGCTATGGCTCAGAAATGAGATCCAGAGCACCCACAGAAATAGCTTTGACCACATGGTGAAGTGAACCCCCATCCCTTTACAGCTCCATGGCTTCTAGGAGTATCCTAGTATTTTCCTCTGCACAGGCTCCTGTACTTTCTCACAGGACCTTGGGGAGGAAAGATTTTCCCCTTTATCTTCCATAAGTCCCCCAGGCATTGATACCAATAGGCTTTTAGTATAAGGATGAAAATCTACACAGATAGAAAAGAACAGGCACACATACTAGATCATCTATTCTCATCTGTTTTACAAAATACATCTTATGAAGAAACTTCTTGGATCTGGCCCTCTTTTTCAGATACTAATCTTAGTTCTTTACAGTCCAGGATCTTAAAAAAATTTTTACTGTTAGTAGAAAATTCAAAACATATTAAAAAGTAGAAAAACAGACAACCAAACCCCTGTGTATCAATCATCCCACTATAACAATCATAAACTTATGACAACTTTTATTTCATCTATATCTCTATTTACTCCCTGCCCCCACTGGATTATTTGGAGGCAAATTACAGGCATCCTATTACTTCTCAGGATATATTCTAAGAACAAAAATATTTATGGGTAATAATAGAAACAAGTTATAGATAATAAATTGAGAGATCCCAAAATAAGCCCCCGATTTTTCCCTGGCTGCAAGTTCAAACCACTTCCTTCTCGGAGAGGCTAATAGAACAAAACAAACCACACGTCTTTGTTATTACTCTTCTGAGAGACTGTGTAACAGCAAGCTAGGAATCACACAGAAGACACAGAAGTTTCTCCAAAGGGATAACTAATACTCAAATGCCCTCCCAATTATACCTACTTGGATAAAATGCACAATATCTGCTCCTCATTGTGCAGAAATATGAAGCCTGAGCAGTGAAGGAATTTTATCTTGAGCTGTGAATGAATGTTTCCAGTTGAAGCAAATAATGTGTGCCTTAGAGGAACTGAATTTGGGAAGAGCTAACCAAACTGCTTTTTCCCCCTCTCACCCCCCAAATTTAGAGTTATCAGATCTTTCTGTTCTGCTTTTTATTCTTTGCTTAGCATTATACTATTTGGACTGCCAAACTTCTTTCTGATATTTATTAATTCCTGATGATTAAAGACTGATACTACTCTATTTAGAGGGTCTTTCTAAAGAAGTGTAATAAATATGCAGCCCCTGGCCCCTGATACAACCCACTACTGTTTGAGCAAGAGTAAGACTACTGCCTGGCTCATATTTACTGAGTGCCTTCTACATCCCGGCTCTTGAGTCATATGAGCTACTCTTTTTCATTCTTGCTTTTCCTTATTGCTTTCACTCCAGTGATTCCCATCAAACAAGAATTTGTTGTGATAGGAAGGTGAGGAAATTTCCAGTTATTAATTTTCTCATATCAGACACATCCCTTAAGATTATTTTAACATGGAAATAGTTATTCTTGCCAATGTGTTGGGAGAATTTAATGAGCTAAAACAGATAAAGCACCTGACACATTATGTGGTCTACTAAAATACCTAAAAAGCAATATCCTTCATATCTTCATATGTAAAAGCAATTAATCATGCAAATTTAGTTATTTCCATTATTCTACCAACATTATATTACCTTATTTAATTTTTGCTTTTAATTTTCTTAAGTTACATAAAATTGTTTACTTGCCTCCATTTTAGACTCTCAAGATAAATAGAGCTGGTATTTATTTCCCACTTACACAAATTAAAAGTCTTATATCTTATTTTAAAATTGGTAAGTTTTATAACTACACTTTTGATTGTTAAAAATATTTCTTGCAACTATAGGCCAATATCCCTAATGAATATAGATACAAAAATTCTCAGTAAAGTGCTGGCAAACCAAATTTAGCAGTACAATAAAGGAATTATTCACTATGATTCAATGGGGTTCACCCCTGAAATGCAAAAATGGCTCAACATATGCAAATCTCACATTTACACAATGAATTACTATGTAGCCATACAAATGAAGGAACTCTTTCCCTCTGCAACAGCATGGATTGACCTGGAGATTATTATGCTAAGTGAAATAAGCCAGTCAGAGAAAGACAAATAGTATATGATCTCACTCACATGTGTAATCTAATGAATAAAATAAACTGACAAGAAAAAAAAAACCAGAAGCATGGCTACATGGGACACAATGACAGATCTCAGAGGGCAGGGGTGTGGGATGACTGGAAGAGATTAGCCAAAGAACATACATGGGTATATGCATAGTCTATGGACACAGAAGGTGGGGGAGGGACTGAGTGAAGGGGGGCAAAGGAAGGAAAAACGGGGACACCTGTAATAGCATCAACAATAAAAAATTCTTTAAGTCAGACTTTGGGGGAAGATGGCAGCAGAGTAGGACAAAGGATTTCGCTTCCCCCCAGGCACCAGAGAAAAACCGGGCTGATCTGTGGAGGAGTGCAGCGGACAGCCAACAGGGACCCAGCATATAGGAAGGTAGGACTCCAGAAATTGGAGCAGACTCTGAACGACCAGACAGTGAGGAGAGATGGCTGCAGGTCAATAAGGTCCCAGGGAATGGCACAGAGGCCGCAGGCCAAGGCCCAGGCGGTGCCAGGGCCCGGGCTGGTCTGCTTCAGTCTCTGGGAGCCGAGGGCTGCCTCAAGGATATTGGGAAAGAGCCAGTCACCAGCTCCCTCCCTACAAAAATGCCAAGAGAGATCTGTTTGCTTGGAGTATCAGGGAGAGGAGTGGGTATAAAGAAGCAAACGAGAGACCTTTGATTACACATGGAGTCTGTGGACGCCAGCTTGGGAGAATTGAGAGTCGCCTTTGCGTTCCCACATAGCACTGGGAAGGAGTTGCGCCCAGGCCGGCTGGACCAGAGAAGCCTGGCTGGAACACACGTCCACACCCCAGGCCAGGACTGTGAATCCTGGGGAAAGTCAGCTCTCAGTAGGGTGCTGAGGAGAGGATATTGGGAGAGAAATTGTGAGGCCGGCTGAGTTCACCGAGAAGGGAGAAAAGCAGCACTAATCAACCCTCAGACTGCTGCAGCTAGTGTGACCAGAAGAAAAGGCTTGACCAGCTGGAAACCAACAAGAGGTTTTTTTTGTTGTTTTTTTGTTTTTAATAATCTTTTATTTTAAACTTTATTATTGTTTTATCTTTCAGTACTTTTACCCTCTCTCTTCTTGTTTCTTGTTTTATTTCTTCTTCCTCTCTTTCCGAACCTACCACTTTTTCCTCCCTTCTGCTGCCTTTTTTTCCTTTCTTTCCACCCCCTTACCCCCCAAGTGAGACAAAAGACTTGGAATGGCGAAAAGACCAGAGTTGGACTCAAAGAGGGGGCATCCCAACAGTAGAAACAGAGAGACAAAATTCACTTTGCTATAACAGAAAAACTACAAGTTACTGCACATTTGAATTTTTCATTATTATTACATCTTTTATTTTAATAGTATCTCTGTATTCCTCCTCTTTCTGTATAGTCTTCTCTACCTTGCTGGATATATTGTATTACTTGACAGGTTTCCCCTGTCTCCTCAACCATAGCGTATTGCTAATTCACTGTCCTTTACTTCCCCTTGCCCAGTTAGCAAACTATTAAAGTCCAATACTCCCTAATCTTGGTATATCATAGATTCTGTCATATGATTGTTGCTCTAATATTATTGCAAATAATAGTCGTGGCATGCTGTTGTAAATACTACACAATACTCCCTCCCCCAGATCTTAGCCCACTACATTGTTGCCTGAAATATAATACTGCAGTGGTTTACTCTGTTTTCTCTCACACTACACCAATTTACCATTCCTTATTCTCATCTTACCTCAGAATCTGACCTCCCTCAACCTCACTCCTTCTTGGATCAAAATCACAAGCCTTCCATCCCCAACAAGAGACTTATCTTCCTTCTACCCTTTCTGAAAAGTGGCTAGGTGGGTTGAAGATTACAGCTGTCGCTATACATAGTCATGGGAGCGCCTATCTCTTCTCTACCAGCTGCTACTGTAAATATCATAAAATACTCTCCTGCTGTCATAAACCAGTTTGCCTTCCCCTCCAACTGATCACAAAAAAAAAAAAATGAGTAGGTGGAAGCGGTGAACACCAGGATACCCAAAGGAAGAGGAAACCCAACAACAAAGGAACCACCAACAGATGACAACAGAGGAAGGTGAAGGAGGGAGTAGAAACCACACAAACCTCAACCCAGGACCTACCTGGAAATACAACTATACAGCGGAGAAACTTCCCAGGGCAAACAACTGAACAAGAGGGAAACAGAATCTTCAAAACCCTGTATATGCAGAAGAAGTAGCTTGAATGCAACCCGCCCTCACCAGCACAGCAAATTAAAATGGGTAGGAGACAGAGGGACCATCAGTTCACCAGCTGGTGGGAAGAACCCACAGAAAAAAAGACTCAGAAACAACAAAAACCCAAAGACAAACTCAGAGCAAATATAAAGGACAGCCCAAGACCAGCAAGCTCAGGAGATCAAGGAGACGACAGCACTGAATCTCACAGGTATTATACCACAGAAGTGCACATCATAAATCCAGGAAGCCAGAACAAATCAATTTAAGAAGCTGAAGCTAAAAAGAAGAGTCTCACAAACAATGGGAAGACAATGAAACAACCCCCCAATGAAAGGAAAGGATGCTAGATGAAGCATCTCAGGAAGAATGCTAGATGAAATAGAGGCAAGTCAGCTATCAGATACTGAATTCAAAGCACTGGTTATCAAGAAGTTTAAAGAGCTCACAATGAGCTACCAGAAAGTACGGGGGAGCTACAATGAACTCACTGAAAACTATATCAACATGAAAAAAAAATAAACAAACCAGAAACTATCAGCAAGGGTCAAGAGGAAATAAAGAATACAATTTCGGAGCTGAAGAATACAGTAGAAGGTATCAAAAGCAGGATTGATGAAACAAAAGATCGGATCAGTGAGTTGGAGGAAAGTAGAAAGCATCTCACAGAAAGAGCAAGAAAATGAAAACAGGCTCAGAAAGAATGAAGAGGGATTAAGAGAAATGCAACACAATATGAAACATAATAATACCCGAATAATAGGGTTACTAGAAGGAGAAGAAGAAGAGCAAGGGATAGAAAATCTATTTGAAAAAGTAATGATGGAAAACTTCCCTAATTAGATGAGAGAAAAAGTCACACAAATCCAGGAATCACAGAGAGTCCCAATCAAGAGGAACCCAAAGAGACCCACTTCAAGACACATCATCATTAAAATGGCAAAATTTCAAGACAAAGAGAGAATCTTAAAGGCAGCAAAGGAGAAAAAGAAAGTAACCTATAAGGGAGCCCCAATAAAGTTAGCTACTGACTTCTCAAAAGAAACACTCCAAGCAAGAAGAGAATGGCAAGAAATATTTCAAGTAATGAGAACCAGAGACCTTCAACTAAGGTTACTTTATCTAGCATGGCTCTCAATCAAGATAGAAGGGCAAATAAAGAGCTTCCAAGACAAAAGAAGTCTAAAAGAATACACCTCCACCAAACCAGCTCTGCAAGAAATGCTAAAAGGTCTGCTTAAAGAAAGAAAGTAAAAGAGAGACAATGAGAAGCACAGCTACAAAAATGACAATGAATAAGTACCTACCAATAATATCCTTAAACATAAATGGACTAAATGCTCCAATCAAAAGACACAGAATAGCTGAATGGATAAGAAATCATGACCCAGACATTTGCTGCCTACAAGAGACCCACCTCAGGACAAAAGACCATCACAGACTAAAAGTTAGGGGCTGGAAACAAATTTTTCAAGCAAATGGCCAGGAAAAAAAAAAGCTGGGGTAGCAATTCTCATATCAGACAAAATAGACTTAAAAAAAAAAAGGGTCATAAAGAGAGACCCAGAAGGTCACTTCATAGTACTGAAGGGAAGAACCCACCAAGAACACATAAACATTGTAAATATATATGCACCAAACATAGGGGCACCGAAA